TGTGAATAACCTCAGTACCTGAGCAAATCATCAAGTTGCTCATAATGTAAGAGGGGGTCACTGCTAAAGGCCACTCGTTGCTGTTAATGGTGGTGGGGTCATTTGGAAAAGGATGACGGTGATGGTTGTACAATATGATGAACATAATCAACTGTCACTAAATTGTACATGTAAAAATTGATTTGACACGTGTTTCTTTTATATACGTATGTATGTGTGTATGTACATATGTATGTGTGTATGTATGTAAGTGTGTGTGTGTATGTATGTGTGTGCGTGTGAATGTATGTATAGCCATCACACAAAAACAGTTAAGACGCAGTTCTAAAAACTGTCATTCGTATTTTCTTTACTGGTTTATAATTTGGCCATAACTTAATTTCAAGCAAATGGTATAAAAGTGCTCATTTTATATTCCCCTTTCTCCCTCAGTGAAACATCATTTGGATTCTCTGAGAAAAGATGACCACTGGCTTCACTGTTTCGTGGTTTAGTGTTTACCGGGTAAGCAAAACACTCAGCCAAGTAAATGCTGAGTCCCCCCAAACATGATGCTGTCTAAGACAATGTTCAACGTGAGAGCCGGGGGGGAACAACACCCCCCACCGTCGGGGGCTTTACCTAAAGGCACCTCTATGGATACTTTCTTCTACTTTTGTTCAATAAAAGAATCCCAGTTTGGGGGAAAGCAGATGAAGCCCTCTGACCTCTAACGACTGCGGAATGAGGGAAAGGACCTTGTTTCTCGTGCGCTCCTTTCTGGGTGCCGCGACACTACCGCACTTCTCTGTCCCCAGTCTCTCTACCGCCTCCACCGAGAAGCTGCAGGTGGGCTTCCCTTGGTCTGCAGGGAGCCCTTTCCCCCATTTCAGCTCATCTTCGGTCCTTCTCAGAAACTTATCGAATTCACAGTGAGCACTACGCTTCCTGCCATCATCCAAGTGACATCTCTGTGTTTCAAGCTCTTTTTCTCGAAATCTTCTCTCCGTATCCCTTTGCTCTTTCTCACTGTCATTTTGTGACCTGTGATTCAATATAGACGGTTAGTATACCGATTGGCATTGCTAGCTGAGTACCTGCCTTCCTCGCTACACTGTGAGCCCCCCAAAGATAGAAAATCAACAGTCTGCTCATCAATGTAATGCCAGAGTCCCCACAGTGGTGGACACACAGCAGGCATTCAATTCAAACTCATCAAATGATGGATTAAAAGAAATAATGATAATGTGTATCACTGTATGTGCCTAAAAGATTTCACACTAACATATACACACACATACATGAGGGGGGTTCACAAAGTTCACGCAAAAAAGGGAGGAAGACAGAATGAAGAATTTTTCTGAAACCTCCTCCAGTGTGCATGGAACTATTTCCAGATCTTCGTAAAAACCGCGAAGGACAGAGAATTCCCTGCATCAGAAACTTCCATCACGTAGGGAGTGAGACAGCCCGCGTGATTGCCCAACGTCACCAGAACAGTTACTGCCAGCTTCACAGATTAACACACTCATTAGTTCTGCACACATTTCTAAATGTGAAGTGAATAATCAAGGAATCCGGGACTGCTAAGCTCACTTGTTTTCCAGTCTTTCTCCTCCGCACACCACAAACAAAAGATCTCACCCTGTATCTGTGGCCCATCCACCGATCAGAAGTCGCAGCAAGACTAGTGGAGACACGTGGGGACCTATAAGCAGAGCATGAATTCATGCCAGAAACATGAGAATGGGCACATTTATAACACAGTCCTCAATAATACAACCGTGCTACAAGATAATGGATTTGATCATTACATATAAACTCATTTTATAAAGAACTCAATAAACCAATCACAAAAATGGAGGGAAAAACTTTAGCAAAATTGCGTGTTAAGACAGCAGTAACAAACGGTTCCAGTAACCGTGATGCCAGGAAAACAACAACCTGTTCACCAGACCTTCCACTCAGCATTCCGACTAGAGCCCAGCTTCCAACTGGGAGTTCTGAGCAGAACATTCGGGGGACCAAGACTCTCTCTGTGGGAACTAGATACAAACAGGCAGGAGAGCTGGGATAAGGGTGACAAACCTGAGGCTCTGTGGCCACAGAAAAGGGAATTCCAGCCCACATGGGGATTGAGGCGAAGGTAAGCAGACCCTGACGGTTAGGGAGCTGAGAGCTGGCTCCTCGGGAGCAGCAGCTGGCGGGTCTCTCTCAAGGCTGGTCTGTGGAGCAGAGGTTACAAGTCTCCCATTCACAGGTAAGTAAGCCCAGCTCAGGGTACCTCTGCTGGGGCAGGACCTTATGAGCAAGGAAATGGACAAAACAAATGCACTCATGGGCATTTAGCAAGGAGAGACTGTGAGACACTCCGAACATCCAAGAGTAACTGCTTCTGGCCCCAAAGCATCAAGACAACTTCATGAGATGCAGCACAGCCTTTCAAGTAACTCCATTTCCGCCATCAGCACCCTTCTCAATGGACAGTGACAATGGCGGCAGGATACCAAAAATATAATCAATGCCACTGGATTACTGTGCGGGTTAAGGTTGTGGTTTATCTATTTTCACACAATTAAAACAAAACAACCACTTTCTAGTCCTTAAAGACTGGGTCTCAATTTTTTTAATTTGTAAATAAATTAAAGGAAGGTTTGGCCACTGTTCAAACCCAATCCGGCAGTGTGGATGATCAAAGGGATAAGGTATCTCAAAACCAACTACAAACGTGTCTAGAATCACAAAAGAATCTGGGAGAAGAGGTCTCAAAATATAACATTCAGTACCAGGACACCCCAAAGAATGACAAAAGGGGAAAACAGACTAGGCAAAGACAGGCAGACGGTCATCAAGGAAAACACCAGAAGAAAAGGGCCCTGCTCAGAAGACAGACTTGAGGCTGCAGAAGGAAAGGTTTTATTAAGCTCCCAACGTGACGGATGAGAATCAGAACCAAACATGTACAACCACAGCCCAGATCAATTCTTCACCTTCAAGTATAATGTGTGTGCTCATATCGGCAGAGCATGTTGATTATGACTTCATAACAACTTTTCAATATTTCATGTGGTCATTAAAAACAAAACCACAACTCACTTTTCCTTGAGTTTCTTCTGTGAGCTTTCTAAAGACTTGGATTTTATGACTGGACAGCTAGGAAATTTTTCCCATTTTCCATCTCCAATACCAATTTCCTCTCCTCTTTCTTTTGGTTTCTCTGTGGTTGGTTCCTCTCCCTTTTCAGGTTTCTTAAGAAGCTGAGAAATTGCAGTATTAGTAAAATATCACTCTGAAAGTATTTTGTAAAATACATTGTTTTATAAATAAGAGAGTTTGGAGCAAGAAGGGAAAGCGAGTGGATGCTCCCCCGTGCTCCCCCACTTCACAATGAGTAGAAACAAGCACGCCTGGAATTTCAGGACTTTGGGTGGTAGCTGAGGTGGTGGAGAGTTGGGGACAGTAAAGGAACGTGGAGTGTCTACCCACACCCATTGAGAGCACTTGCTCAGTGCAGTCATTTTGGGATGGGACACAGGGAGAGACAGCGTCGCTGAAGGAGCTGCCAGGTTTTGGGACGATCTTTACGGTGGCAGATTGGCTGTGGGATTTGCGGGTCAAGCCACTGTGAGGAAGTCGAGAGAGACTCCAGTGCTACCAGGCCATGCTGCGGAATTTCATGGAGGCCTGAGGCAGATGTGCACGGGGACCAGCAGGAACTACAAGGGTAGCAGGGTTAGGGTGATACTTTGGAGGAACGGCAACCAAGCGGGGACAGCTGGCTCCCTGCCCACAGGTGACACTGTAGGAGGGTGTGTGCAGGGGTGCCCCTGAGGGAAAGCAGAACTCCACTGTTTACATCAGTGTCTGTTACCAGCTATTATCTCCCAACCACCCAGGCGGGTATACTGAATGAAGCCCAGAGATGAAGCCTTCAGAACTCTTGTATGAGCATTGAAAACCTTCAGTGTACAAGGAGCCCGAGACTAGGGCTTTCAGTTCCCCCCAGGTCTGGAACAGACCTCAGTCTCACGGCTCAGTTTTCAGCCGAGCAGTACACAGGTGTATAGTGGGGGTACAGCAACACTAGTAGGGTATGCTCGTCATGCAATAGTCAACCAGTCAAGATCAAACGGGCACCATTTACCTGAGGACAAAGTTGGGAAGGGATGGGAAGGTGGGTGGGGTGGAAACAGGGAGGAATCACTGCTGATCCACAGGGAGGAGGAGGGATCACTGGTGGTGCATGGTGGGGACTGCAATCACTGAGATGAAACAAAGTGTGTGATTGGTTGAATATAAAAGTGACGATCTTCTCTGTGGTGCTGTAGGGTCAGCACTGGATTGTTAACTGAAAGGTTGCCTGTTCAAACCCACCAGCTGCTCCTTGAAAACCCTATACAGGGTTGCTGTGAGTCAGAACTCACTCAAGGCACTTAATAACAATGACAATTCACAATAAAATGTTTTCAAAGCAGAATGCCCTCTAGTGATTCCCAGGAGAAGAACCCACACCCCCAGTTGCTAGGTGGAGTCCAGCTCACAGGGTCCCACCCTGTGGACTGGAGTGGAGCAGCCAGCCTTGTGTGCTTGGAGGGCTCTGAGTCTTGGTAGAAGCAAGCTCATGCATCTTTCTCCTGTGGAGCAGCTAGCTGAGTGCTTCTTCAATGTGCCACCAATCAGAAAAATTTACCACAAAAACCAGAATACGAAATTTAAAGTTAAAAAAAAAGATACCTAAATGGCTACAGGTCAACAAAAACTAGTAAAACACAGGAGAAGAAGGACCAATCAAAGCAAAACATGAAGAAGAGATCTTTTCCTCCTAGGAAGGCCAGGATAATGGGAAAAATGGAAAATTTTCAGAATACAGTGCTTTGTTGCTGTTGTTAGGTGTCATCGAGGCAGTTCTGACCCGTAGTGACCCTGTGCACAAGAGATCGAAACATTGTCGGGTCCTACACCATCCTCACAGTTGTCCCCATGCTTGAGCCCACTGCTGTTGCCACTGTGCCAATCCATCTCATTGGGGGTCTCCCTCTTTTCTGCTGACCATCCAGTTTACGAAATATGATGCCCTTCTCCAGGAACTGATCCTTCCTGATAATATGTCTGAAGTATGAGAGACGAAGTCTGGCCATCTTGGCTTCTAAGGAGCATTGTGGCTGTTACTTCTCCCAACACAGATCTGTTTGTTTTCTGGCAGTCCAAGGTACTTTTAATATGTTCCTCCAACACCATAACTCAAATGCATTGATTCTGCTACGGTCTTCCTTATTCACTGTCCAACTTTCACATGCATATGAAACTACTGAAAATACCATGGCTTGGGTCAGACCCACCTCAGTCCTCACACTGACATCTTTGCTCTTCAACACTGTAAAGAGGTCTTGTGCGGCAGACTGGCCTAATGCAACAGGTTGTTTGATTTCATGACTGCTGCTTCCAGGAGTGTTGGTGGTTGATCTGAGCAAAATGAAACTTTTGACTACTTCAATCTTTTCTCCATTGATATGGATGCTGTTGAGTGGGCTACTGGTGAGGATATTTATTTTCTTTACATTGAGATACAGCCCATAATGGAGGATCATGGTCTTGGATCATCATCCGTAATTGTTTTAAATCCTCCTCCTTCCAGCAGGCAAGGTTGTATTGTCTGTATATCGCAGGTTGCTAATGAGTCTTCCTCCAAGTGAATATGCTTCTTGCTGTTGTGGTGAAGTGCCGTGGAGTCGGTTCCGACCCATAGTGACCCTAGATAGAGTTTCCAAGGAGTGACTGGTGAACTTGAACTGCTGACCTTTTGATTTAAACTACTATGCAGTCCAACGCATTAACCCACAGCGTCACACCAAATATGCTTAAGAGAAGCAAAAACACACAGAAAGCTAGCTATGAACCAGAAACAAATGAAGAAACAAAATGAGAGACTCAACAAGGAAATCTATAACATTTAAAAAAAAAAAAAAAAAGAGGAGAATTTCTGGAACTGAAGAAAGCAACTGAGTCAGAAGGAGCAAGAGAAGACACCAATCACACTGAACAGACAGAAGGTAGACAAAGTGAAAAGTGAACCAGCCAACAAAATAACCAAACTGAGCAAGTCTCAAGAGAAACAGAAGAACAAGTAAAAATGAACAAAGGCAAATGGAAATGTGGGATTAAATGAAGAAGTCTAGCATTAGAATTACTGGAAATCCCAGCGCACCCTGACACCATGACACCATGAAAGCATGTCAACAATATTCCAGGAGACAATCAGAGAGAATTTCCCAGACCAGAAGGGAGCGCCAAGTCTGCAAATACAGGAAGCTACACAAGCCCCAATTAGAAGAAACACAAAATTCTACACCATATCCAAATACAATTCTTGAAAATCAAAGACAAGAGAGAATTTGGAAAGCAACAAGAGAAAAATGCCATCTAACAAACCAAGGGGTCGTCCATTAGATTCAGTGTAACTGCCCTCCAGAAACTCCAGGGGCCACAAGACAACGGAGAAACATTTCTAAAGAACTGCTAACCAAGCATTCTTTTACTCAGCAAAGTTGTCATTTAAGAATGAGGGGATATCAAGACATTGCTCAACAAGTAGAAGCTCTGGGAGTTTGTCCCTACTGGACCAGTTTCGCATCATTCAAGGAGTCCACCCACATTCAATAAATAAATACCTGTAGACACAGGGGAGCGTGGTGGCTCCATATGGTCAGCACTATCAGTGGGTCGAGCCCACCATCTACTCTGCAGGTGAAAGACGAGGCTTTCTGCTCCCAGCAGAATTTACAGCCTCAGAAACCCTACAGGGTCGCCAGGAGTCAGAACTGACTCGACAGTATTTAACAACAGCAATGTACATTATTGTATATATACAGGGAAAAAAAGCACAAACAAAAAACAGAGAGAGTTGTTGTTGTTAGGCGCTATCAAGTCAGTACTGACTCACAGCGACCCTATGCACAACAGAACAAAACCCTACCTGATCCCGGGCCAACCTCACAATTGTTGCCTCACAACTGATGAGCCCATCGCTGCTGCCACTGTGCCCAGGCATCTCGTTGGGGGGTCTTCCTCTTTTTTTCTGACCCTCTACTTTATTAAACATGATATCCAAGACATCTCCAGAAAACACAATAACATGGACAATCATGAGGTCCCAGTATATTTTCAGGGAATAAACTCAGGAATTAAATCCTGCAAACAATACACCAAGTTGGTAAGCAATAATTAGGAAGTAAATGTATGAGATACAGGCTGTACTGCTGTGCTTAATGATGATGCGCCCACGGCGATGAGACCAGGAGGAGCATTCAGAGTCCGTGTTGGTTAGACGTTAGCGACTGTTCATGTGTCAAATGGTGCCATTTTCAGTTGTGTAATGTAATATAAGAGTTCTGGTGTGGCGCTGTGGGTTAATGCGCCAAACTGCAAAGCCACTGGAACTGCAAGGTCCACAGTTCAAGCTCACCAGCTGCTCCTTGGAAAACCTATACAGGGTCGTTATGGGTTGGAAACGACTTGATGGCACTTAACAACAACAACAACAACAGCAATGTAATATAGGAGTCCTGGTGTGGCATTGTAGGATAAACACAGAAGCACAAGGAAGGTCTGAACCACAAGGCTGATGGTTCACACTTACCAGCTGCTCCTGGGAAACCTTATACTGGGTCACTAGGAGTCGGAACCAACGCAACCACACTTAACAACAAAAACAACAACAAATGCAATATATATGGTTATTGTTGTTCAGTGCCATCGGGTCAGTACCTACTCACAGCGACCCTGTATAGGGCTGCCGAGAAGCGGATGGTGGGCTTGAACCACTGATCTTGCAGTTCAAACTGACTTTGCAGTTCAGTGCCTTAACCCACAGTGGCACACTAGGAAATCACTGATAAAAAAATTCAGAAGAAGAGAAGGAAGCAAAAAGGGCCTTCAAAAGAAAGCAGCCAAACATACAAAATCAGAATTAAAAAACTAAGCTACAAACTACTGAAAACCCACAACAAAATGAGGTCAACATGTTTCCAGTAAACCTCGGTCTCAGTGGGCCAAACGAGAGCCAGAGCGTGGCGGAGTAACGATACAACACAATGCGCTCTCTTCCTGTCTATGAGACATTCACCTTGCACATGAGATCACAAACAAACTCAAAAATTAAATCCTGAAAACAATACAACAGCAAAATTGTAAGCAGTTAAGTCCAAACAATACAAGAAAATAATTAAAACACAAAAGAGGATGGAAAAAATATCCCATGCTACCAGTAAGCAAGAAAGAACAGGGAGGGACATACTGGTATCAGATAAGATAGATTTTAAATCAAAATCTGCTATGAGAGATAAAGAAGGGCATCACATAATAACAATGGGGTTGATCCAGCAAGAAGATATAACAATTACACATGTGTGAATGCGCTGGACTGCAAAGTCACTTTGAACTACAAGGTCGCTTTGAACTGCAAGGTCAGTCATTCAAGCTCACCAGCCGCTTCTCGGAAACGCTTTACAGGGTCACTATGAATTGAACTGACTCGATGGCACCTAACAACAACAATACATCTAGCAGCAAAGCTCCAAAATACAGTCAACAAACACTAGTAATGGAAGGAGGACTAGACAGCTCCCCGAGACTACTACAAGACTTCAACACACATGTACTGTTCATTACTGATGGAACATCAAAAAGGTCACCAAAGGCACCGAAAACATGACACCATAAGCCAACTGGACCTAACTGACATACACAGAACGTTCCACCCAACATCAGAACACTTAAATAAGCATGCAGCCAACAAAAAACACTGCTCTCCAAATTACTTCCTGAAGAAAACCCTGGCTTTACCCACGAGGGACATGTCATTGCACATGTGGATGGCCAATCTAATCATCTTTCTGGGGTCCCCGATTTTATCAGTTATTACCAGATTATGAGGTTTTGGGTACATACATCAATCTGTGCCCAGATCTGTACACATTTTGATCCAATTCTTATCAAAGTCAAGTTGAAAGAAACTATTGTGGATGACTTTTCTCGTGGAATAAACGTTTTCTTGCACATCTAGCTTTCACCCTTGAAGCAAGTGGACTAGAGCACCACTATCTGGCTCCTACCCCGTACCACGCACAAAGCTGCATTTTAAAGGGACTTTTCAAGAAAGATTCTTCATAAATTATGTTGTTCCTCAGCGCTGCTCATCATCTAGTTCAGATTTCCGTTCTTCTTGGATGTGGGTAATGGTGCACTTTTCCACTGAAGTGGGGCCATACATCGGGTCTTAGCCAACGGCAGGCAGGCAGAGGAGCGTGTGTCTCGCCCACATGGGGACTTTAAGTGCTAGTGAGCGGTCGGCCACATCACACACCACCGACCCCATCATGGAGGCCGCGGAAGCACATTCCAAGATGAGGTACCAGCCGGGGTTGCTGAATTATTACGAGCCGAGGCACAATGGACAAGAACTGGACGTGGAGCATGAACACGAAATCTACTTTCAGTCAGATTTTGAGACAATTTGTTATTGTAACCTAGCCTGACTGGTGGCAATGCTTGGAAGCTTTCGTAGGGACAGTGTTAAAACTTCTTCCCTCCATTGCTAGCAAACCCCATATGGCATCTATGGAGAAGCTGTTCTTAGAGCAAATCCCTAGAGAAAGATTTGCATCCTTAAAGAACTGGCTACGTTTTCTCGTCATGGATAATGAAAACTGTTTCTGACCGACCTTCTAGGTTCTGAGGGTCAAGAGTAACAGAAGCTGACCTGAGCTCCACTATCTCTCAGCTCTTCCCCATCCTTTCGATTTCCAGTATATTCTTCCTCATTTCTGACTTTCTTTTCCTATCATCCAATTTTACTGAATTCCTATGCCAAACACTCACTGCTGTAAGTCAATGCTACCTGCAGCAACACCACAGGATACAGCAGAGTCTTCACAGAAGAGCGGCTCGTGGCTCTGAACTGCTGACCTTCCTGTGAGGAGCTGAGTACTTTAAGCACTGTACTATCAAGGTTCCGTTTAAATCCCTATGTGAGACTTTAAATCCTTCACAGGAGAGGGAAGATGCACATTTGGCTGAAATTTGGATTTAATGATGTCATCTGCAAGAGTGGAGTCCCGGTGTGGTGTTGCAGGATAATGCACTGCAAGACAAGGTGAGTTTGAACCACAAGGTCAGAGGTTCAACCCATCAGACGCTCCTCGGAAACCCTATACAGGGTCTGTGAGTCAGAACGGACTCAATGGCATCTAACAACAAAACACAGTACTGAACACATAAGAACGGATCTCAGTCTGGCCCAACATATTTTGTGGTTGCTATTGTTAAGTGCTGTCCAGTCCACTGACCTTGCGGTTCAAATCGACCTTCAGGCCAAGTGCTTATCCCATGGCGCCACACCAGGACTCCCAACATATTTTACACAGAGAGCAATGTCCTCCATACGTTAAACAACCTAACGAGACATGGGGTACGCACTTGGCTGCTAAGTGAAAGGTCTGTGGTTTGACGCCAGCATCCGCTCCACAGGCGACCTCAGCCCAGAAAACCCCTGGGAAGCTCTGCTCCACCCTGTAGGCTTGCGCTGAGTCAGAGCTGACTGGACAGCTCATGACGACGGGCCTTAGAGTAGCCTCAGAAACACGTGAATCAGTCACAAGAGAAACCAGCCCACTGCTGCTACCAGAAAACAAAGGGTCACACCTGGAGTTAGCCTCCACACGAACAACAGACGCAGCCACTCCTCACTGACGGACACAGTTAGGTTGGAAAGGTCAGGGCATTGAGAAAAGTTGTGAAGTACCGTCGAGTCAGTTCTGACTCCTAACAACCCTGTATAGGGCTTCCAAGGAGTGGCAGGTGGGTTTGAACCACAGACCTTGCGGTTTGAACTGACCTTACGGTCAAGTGTTTATCCTATGGCGCCACACCAAAATTAGCAAAAAGGGATGATAAGCCCATCAGATCCCAAAGTAGAAGATGACTACCTCGTTACATTGCGTCACAGCCTGCCCAAGAGACACCACTGTCCCCGACTCCGACTGCGATGCAGCTGCCTGCCTCTGGTGGCCACCACTGCTAGGTGAGACGTATGCTGTGAATGTGGACAGCAGTTGCATGGGAGATTTCTCATTGTTGTCATAAATGCATAATGTCAGACAGAGAGAGAAGCCATATGTGAGGGCGAGCTGCATATGCTAAGCCAGTCGTTTTCAAACGTGGGGTTTTGTTTTGTATTTTTTCCAGTTAGGAGACCTTTTCCTTAGAGAAAATTTTAAAGAGAACATTGAACATTGGCTAATCTGGGTGCGGAGTCCCTGGGTGGTGTAGATGGTCACTGTGCTACTGATCACCAAAAGGTTGAAGTTTACCCAGAGACGCCTCAGAAGGCCCCGTAGTCTACTTCTGAAAACCAGAGACGCACAGTCCACTCGGACACACAGGCGGTCACTACGAGTTGAAATCGGTTGGTGCGCTCTGGGTGAAGTACCCTGCTTTATGCCCACACTGTTGTTGGTGTTAAGTGCTGTTGAGGTGGTGCTGACTCATACCAACCCTGTCTATGGTTTTGAGGAGCAGCTGGTGGGTTTGAACCATGGACCTTGTACTTAGCAGTCCTTTTTGACCCTTCTGTGTGGCGCTGTGGGCTAATGTTTCAGACTGCAAAGTCATTTGAGCTGCAAGGTAAGTGGTTCAAGCTCACCAGCTGCTCCTTGGAAACCCTATACAGGGTCACTCTGGGTTGGAATCGACTCGACGGCACTTAACAACCACCACCTCTCCTATACCAAAGACTTCCAAGGTCACAGGCCATGTAAGGAACGCCTTATGCTTTCTCGAACATACTTTGAAAATCTCTATCTTAAAATCAAGAAAAGGGAGCGACAGTAATAAAAGAAGAGATTAATTGAAAGTGTCTCGAAGACTAATGTTACAAACCCTAAAAGGGACAGTCAGTACAGGAGAGTCCATTTTAGGAAAGAAACGCCAGGTTTACTCACAATTACCTTGATCTTTCTTTCTTCCTCAATAGTTTTCTTCTGTTTGTCGGCCTCCTTTCTCTTACATCTTTCTTCCTCTCTTCTTTTTCTTTTCTCTTCTTCCCGTAAGCGTTTCTTTTCTAATTCCCGTCTCCTTCGTTCTTCTCGCTTCTCTTCTCGAATTCGCTGAAGTTACAGAAAAGTGTGTGTAGAAATGGTGGAAGGAGACGGCAGTAACAGGGAGGGTAGACATTAGATGAAAGGACAGACCTACCTGCTTCTCCAGTTTTCTATTTTTAATATATTCCAAAAGAGGTGTGGTTCTTCTAGCTAAAACAAAAAATCGTAATGTATTATTTAACTTCTCAAATAAAGCTTCTTTATTTTCAATAAAGGTTTTCAACTTAATCTTTAACATTATTAGAGGAGAAATAGAATTATTTTTTTTAAATCTCTATGTACATAAACTACATCCTGGAAAGTTCCTATTTTGTCACCATATAGCCAAGTCATGGCGTGGCGCTGCAGGATAAAGCCCCCGACCACAAGCCTGGCCTGAACCACAAGGTTAGAAGTTGCTCCTCGGAAACCTCATACAGAGTCACTGTGAGTCAGAACCGACTCAACAACACTTATCAACAACAACAACATTGTCAAGTAATGTAGTTATTGCTGTTGTTAAGTGCCATCAAGTTGGTTCTGATGCATAGCGACTCTGTATAGGGTTCCCAAGGAGTGGCTGGTAAGTTTGAACTACCATCCTTGTGGTTCGAACCAACCTTGCAGTCCAGTGCTTTATCCCAGAGTCACACCAAAAAGCATCAAAGAACAAGGAATGAATGTTTCCACCAACTCTGACCCTAGTCTTCAAGTCTCCTATCGCAACAGTCTGATTTGATCAAACACGCAGTAGTAGGCCTAAGGGTATTTATATAAGATAAACCAGTTCCAAGAGGTATGGTATGGACTATCCATGGTGAGGTGGTTTGAATAGCCATTCAGCTTATAGGTGGAAGTAAAAGATTCTGTGGGTCTTTCTGTTCCTCAGGTCTTACAGGTCACAATTACTGGATTCTCCTGATGGATAAAGAAAACAAAAATCCTCACCACTGGACCAAGAAACACTATCATGATCAATGGAGAAAAGACTGACATTGTTAAAGACTTCACTTTGCTCATATCCACCATCAACACTCATGGAAGCAGCAGTCAAGAAATCAAACGAGGTATTACATTAGGCAGATCTGCTGCACAAGACCTTTTTAAAGTGTTGAAGAGCAGAGATGTCAGCTTGAGGACTAAGATAAGCCTGACGCAAGCCATGGTATTTTCAATAGCCTCACATGCGTGTCAAAGTTGGACTGGGAATAAGGAAGATCGTAGAAGAGTTGATGCATCTGAATTATGGTGTTGGAGGAGAATATTATAAGTACCATGGATTTGCAAAAGAACAAAACAGGTCTGTGTTGGAAAAGTGCAGCCAGAGTGCTCCTTAGAAGCCAGACTAGCCAGAGTTCATCTCTCATACTTGGGACTTACTATCAAGACATGATGCCTGGTATAGTGGACAGTCAGTGAAAAAGAAGACGTGCCCCCGACCCCCCCGAAACAAGATGGACTGGCACAGTGACAGCAGCAATGGGCTCAAGTGTAACGATGACAAGGAGCTCTGGTAGCGCAGTGGTTATGAACTGGGTTGCGAACCTTAAGGTCAGCAGTTCGAAACTACCAGCTGCTCCGTGGGAGAGATGAGGCTTTCTGTTCCCATGAAGATTTACAGCCTCGGAAACCCTGTACAGGGTGGCCATGGGTTGGAACCAACTCAATGGCACTTAACAACAACAGGACTGGGCAGTGTTTTGTTCTGTTGTGCTCAGGGTCACTGTGAGTCGGAGCAGACACAATAGCACCTAACAACAACACCTGAAGGCTGATATGGCATTTTGAGAGTTCCTAGGAACAGGAATTAAGTTCAACCATGTGACTTATCCAAGAAGAGGGGAGTCCCTGGGCTGTGTTTCCTGAGATTTAGGGTTCGTGAACACTTTGAAAACCTGTGTAAAATATTGTATAATGATGTCTGTGCACATTTTCTAGAGAAAACGTTTACCAGATTCTCCAAGAGCTCTGTGGTCCTATGGGATTCAGATCAAGTCTTATAGATCTTCTCTGTACCTTTCAGCATGTTGTTAAAAGTACACGGGCTCTCGAGTTAGGGAGATAGCCAGACAGCTTTACTTCAGGCGGCTCCACAGTAGTGAGAGCTAACAAGTGTTCAGATGCCTGCATGTTTATGACAAATGTAAGGTATCACAAGAGCCCTCCTTCCTGCCTGGTGGTTCCTGGGTCAAGCACGATCCCCAGCTCAGGATGACTAATGTTGGCTCATGAAGGTCAAAGATCAGCCTGTGTAACAAACAGGGAAATCATGTCAAAGCAGTGCATTCTGGATGGAAATCTGGAAAGATGTTGGATGCAAAACAAGATGAACAAATCCATGTCACTGAATTGTGCATTAAAAAAATACTGAAATGGCAAATATGTCTTTATAACCAATCCACTGCCACAGAGTCAATTCAACTTGGAGTAGAACTGCCCCATAGGGTCTCCACGGCTGTGCATCTTACAAAGGAAGATGCCCCAGGTGGGTTCAAACCACCAACCTTTCAGTTAGCACCACTAAATCACTGTGCCCCCCCCGGGCACCCCACACACACACACACAAGACAAAGGCTCAAGTGTGCACCAGACTCCAAGCAGGGTGCTGGGAGCACAGGAGGCATGGGAAGTGGCAGCACTTTAGGAGAGCACAGCAGGAATGGCTGGATGGCCTGTCCTCAAGGTTGTGTCACTACTGCCGTGACAAGACCGCAGCGCCGTCAGCCACGAGCAGCTCTTCAGCCTGGAGTCTGCGTAAGGGAAGATGCTGATGGGTTGTAGGTCTCAGCTGTGGGTGACTGTCAGCAGGGCATAAAACAAGCCACCTCAGACACAGGTGGCCCACGTCACTACCATCAAACAAGAGCCAGAGCACTGGACTTCCTGGCCCCCGGAGCCAGTAAAGCTGAGGAGCTTTGGGCAGCAGGCTCATCTGTAGATGGGATGCCTCCAGACACTGAACTGGAGAGCTAGGTGTGCTGACGCGTGGAGCTAGAGCCTAGAGCCCTCAAACTGAAGCCGAGGGTGGAGTGGTGTGCCTGTGGTCACGGGTCAGCAGCATTAAAGGAGCTCTGCACCCTTTACTGGAACAGGGCAGAAGCCAGAGAGGCCTGCCTGTGGACATGACAGAGGAGACGCTGTCCTGACAGGAAGAAATGTTCTCCGAATTGTAACCTGCTAATTCCTGGTGTGGGGCTGGAGGATCACCACTGAACTGCCCACCACAAGCTGGGCAGTTCAAACCCACCAGCCGCTCCTCGGAAACCGTACACAGGGTCGCGATGACTCAGAACCGACTCCACGGCACCTGACAACTCCCCTAAGAAACCGTGTAGCTGTGAGTATGGTGTGTGCATTCTGTGTGGGTTACAGAACTCCGCTGAGCAGAGAGGACTGTGGGAGGGATGGCTGCCAGGTTGCTGGCGATGACCGAACACTGTTCTTGTCCTGACTTGTCCTATACAAGGGGACAGATAAAAGCGGAGTGAAGAGGAATGGAGACAGGGAAAGTTCTGTAAACAATTTGCTTTGCTTTGGCCTCCTCTTAAATTTAATACATTCTACAGTGAAATCGCAATTCTGGCCCCAGGACTGTCTTCCCAACGCTGTCTCCATGTCAGGAATGCTGTGCTCCATCCACTCATCTGCTGAGATACACTGGGGTCTTGAGAGTCTTTCAGTTCCTTGTCTTGTTCATCCAATTTCTGTCAGTCCTAGCCTCAAAGTGCATTCTGGGTCTACTCGTCCTGCCTAGGGACCTGGCTGGACAACCCTCCCACCCAGTGACCGGGCTGCTTCCACTGGTATCACCATGTATTACATAGGGCGCACCAGCGCTCGGGTGTGTGTGTGTGTGGGAGGGGGGGGTAACACAATCAGAGATCCTGCCTCGCTCAAGGTCATACCCCCAATAGTTTCCAATTGCTCTTGGAACACAATCCTTTAAAAAAATCCAAACTTCTTACCACAATCATAAACCCACCTACCTTCACCAACTACTCTATTCTTTGCCATCTTGTGCTTACCACACGAGCGTTTGTCCTGTATGTCCCAAGGCTAACCTAGTCCCTAGGCCCTTACACATGTAGTTCCCTCTTCTTCCACCTCGCAGCTCAGCTGGCTTCTTATTCGTCTGGTCTCAACTCTCAGCTCTGGTCTCCTCAGAGGGTCTCCCCTGAGTGCTCTCCCCCACCATCTCTTCAGAGGGTCTCCCCTGAGCACTCTCCCC